TTTGCTGTTTTGATAAAAATGTTGCAGGAAATTATTTGATGTTTGGATATAAAAATGCTGCAGAAAATTGTTTGTTGTGTTGATTCAAATGCTACATAAATATTTTATTGTATTAGTTGGTTAAAATCTTGTTTAATATATATTTGTATAGTGTGGATGCAGGGCATATATATTTATTGTATGGGATGTTAGTCTTGATTGATATATTGTTATATATATTACATTTATTACGTTATATATTATATAGCAAGCTAAGATAAGTTTTCGTTTCAAATTTTGGGTGTAAAATATTATAATATATATATATATATATATATATATATTAGATGGTTTGTAATAAACTTTTTCCTTTGGGATTATTAGTATATTATATTAAAAGTATTAACTGGATTGCTGCAAAATTAATTTTATTTGGATGTATGAACGTGTGAATGTACCAAGAGGTTTGAACAAATATTATGCACCATACCTTGTGATTTTAGTATAATCTTGTTGCAAATTTGGATTCAATTATTATTAATTAGTTGACTTCTTTTTCATAATATTTTAGATAAAAACTCTTAAGAAAAGAAAATAAGAAAAAATCTGCTGAAAATTCTTTGCTGTTTTGATAAAAATGTTGCAGGAAATTATTTGATGTTTGGATATAAAAATGCTGCAGAAAATTGTTTGTTGTGTTGATTCAAATGCTACATAAATATTTTATTGTATTAGTTGGTTAAAATTTTGTTTAATATATATTTGTATAGTGTGGATGCAGGGCATATATATTTATTGTATGGGATGTTAGTCTTGATTGATATATTGTTATATATATTACATTTATTACGTTATATATTATATAGCAAGCTAAGATAAGTTTTCATTTCAAATTTTGGGTGTAAAATATTATAATATATATATATATATATATATATATATATATATTAGATATTTTGTAATAAACTTTTTCCTTTGGGATTATTAGTATATTATATTAAAAGTATTAACTGGATTGCTGCAAAATTAATCATATTTGGATGTATGAACGTGTGAATGTACCTTGTGATTTTAGTATAGTCTTGTTGCTGATTTGGATTCAATTGTTATTAATTAGTTGAATTCCTTTTCATAAAGTTTTAGATAAAAACTCTCAAGAAAAGAAAATAAGAAAAAAATGTCTTCCTCGCAAATAGAAATCAACTTATATATAGACTTATTTGGCGAGTTAATATATCAAGAGAAGTTTTGTAAAATTATAAACTAATGTATAGACTCATCCAAAAACTGACATATAATAAATTTCTATTAATTTAATGAGTTAAGTGTAGAATCTTTCAATTAATTTCTTAAAACTATTAATTGTATTTCTTTTTTTCCTTATTACTGCAGGTTGGGGCAATTGCTTTTGTTGCTTTAACAGGACTGCTAGTATTGGAGCAGTTGCAGGTTGCTGCTTTGACAACTATTGACATGGTGATAGCTTCTTGGCCTATAACATTTCACACTATGGGAAACTGAGCAATGGGCTAGACATCTTGTTTTGAAAAGAATAGCACAATATATATCTAGTTGACATCTTTCTCTATCCACAAAAGATATTGTAGTTGTTGTAAACATCTTTCTCTGCCTTTAGACTTAGATATTTTACCATTCTAGACATATTTTATTTTTTCATTCAAGTATAGGATCCTTATATATTTTCTTGTACAATTTTTTTACTTTAGCATTGTCTATTCTTGGATAAAGAAACCTTTGCTTGAAACCTGTCTTATTTTTTATAAATGTTGAAAGGTTTTAGTGAATAAATCTTCTATTAAATAGTTGTAAATGTTTCATCTATTAGATGGTTTTAGGCAAGTTGACTGTTATGTTGACTTTTATCAACTATTGAAACTCGTAAGTATTAAATGTAGATGTGGAATCACTTATTTTTTTTTTTATAAAATCATAAATTACATACGGATTTTTCCATATGTAAGTACATGGATTTTTTCTATGTAATTATATACAGATTTTACATACGGATTTTTCCGTATATAATTACATACGGATTTTTCCGTATGTAATTATATACGGATATATCCGTATGTAATTATATACGGATATATCCGTATATAATTTATCTACACCTCTTTTATATACGGATTTTGGTCCGTATGTAATCCGTATGTAACATCAATTTATATACGGATTTTAGATGTTATATACGGATTTTGGCTGTATGTAACTGTGATTTTTCTTGTAGTGCACGTTGGTAAGGTATGTTCATCGGTCCCACAAAATATAGACTGAAAGAATTATCAATTTGAACTTTATTTAAATAAGTTTTGAAAAATAAGAACACCCGTTTGCATTAATAATTGGAATAAAATAGAAAAAAATATTAAAAGCATATTATAGAAACACAACAATATATGTGAAACATTATCTGTCCAATCTGAAACAGGGTAGTAGAAAGATGGATTAAGCAATGGGGATACGACGTTTTAGTGCTTGGGAAGGCACTCAAGAATAAGTCTGATGCTAAATGCTTAATGGTACTGCAGCGTGGGGCCACCTGGAAACACTTTTTAATTTGGGGATAGAACATCTATTCCTTGAAGGTGATTGGACGAAAAAGAAAGCGTGAGCAGCGTGGCTAGGTGCTATTGGGTGATCTAGGATCTTGATCTTGTAGTCTCTGGTGGGACCCAGAACATGGAATGTTAGTACCACGCGGCGGATCCTCCACCTAGTTATGCTTGTGAGGTCTACACTTACCCAACTCGCTGTCTCACGCTGTCTCAGCCACTCCCTCTTACCCACTCCCATCACGTCTCTCACATACCCATCTCTGTCCCTTTGCCACTCACTCATTAGTAGTTACACCTTTACTTACAACTTGCATGCAATTCAAGAACGACAAAACTTCACATACAAATTATATTTTATTTTTATATAGAGGGGATTTCACAAATGTTTATTTAACTTTTTTATTGAAGTAAAAAAAAACTTATTTCAAGATCTTGTACAACCCACTGGAATATAGGGCTAGAAGTAAAATTGTTTATTTATTTTATAAATATTGACAAATTAATGCTTCAAATTCAAAATGGGTGATTGAAATTCATGCTGAATTTCACTAGAGAAAAATCGTGTCCCTCTGTATTTGATACCACTTAACTAACCCATCTATGAAGAAATATTGGTAAGTAATAAACATTTATTGAAGGGATATAAAGTGATACGGTCACCTAACAAATCCAAAATTGAAAAAGACAATTCTGAAGAAATGCATGGGGCTGTGACTGTTGGTAAACTAAAAAAACATACCCTCCCAAAAGTACAGATGGAAATGAGAAAATGAATGGAGATGTGGAGGAAGAGATAGGATCCGAAAGTAACTTTTTTATTTTAATGACTCCACTCAGAGAAAAAGGTGGAGCTCCTGTATATGACTGTAAGTTAAACATCTGGTAGAAATACAGCCAATGGGAACTCATTGTCTGAACTAATGCAAGCAGATTAAAAAGGACAGCACAGGTGAAAAGGAAAGCCTCACAGAAAAGATAACAAAAGTAAGATATCCCATTGTTAACATCACAAACTTGGACCACAAATCACAAACCCTCTCTACTTCATCATCCCATGAAGATTAAATCATAAAAACAAGTCATCTCCTACAGTACCCAAATTCCCTTTATAATAGCCCCCACCGTGCAAACCATTCCCAATCTCATCTCATCTGTTCCATTCTCTTTGCCTATAGCCACTTTCAGTCCGATTACCTAAACCAAGTTCATGGCAACTCCCAATAATAGGCTCTCTCTCGCCATGGAGAGAACCGGGCAATGGTAAACACACTCGGCTAACTCCATTTCAAATCCATGCACCATGCATGCATATGCTTACTATATATTATAGTCTCTACTGAGTCTCAATAATGTTCTTGCCTCTGCTTCTTTTGCAGGGTTTTCTCTCAAGACATACCAACTGATGTTATAGTTCAAGTTGGAGAAACAACTTTCTCGCTCCACAAAGTGAGTATATTGTGATTTGAATGATGTTAAGAGTTATGTGCCTACTGGTTCATGCGTGTTATTACTGAAAAGGGTTTTCAATATGTTTGGTGCAGTTCATGCTCGTGGCAAAGAGCAACTACATAAGAAAACTGATACTGGAATCAAATGAGAGCGAGCTCACCAGAATCGACCTCTCTGATATGCCAGGAGGTCCTGCAATCTTCGAGAAAGCCGCAAAATTCTGTTACGGCGTCAACTTTGAAATAACCGTCAACAACGTCGCCGTTTTGAGATGCGCCGCGGAGTTCCTTGAGATGACGGATCAGTATTGCGAAAATAACCTCGCGGGGCGGACGGAGGAGTTTCTCACGAAGGTAGCGTTCTTCACGCTCACTGGCGCCGTCACCGTCCTGAAGTCCTGTCACAACCTCCTCCCCTACGCGGATGATTTCAAAATCGTGAAACGCTGCGTCGAGGCCGTCAGCGCCAAGGCCTGCAGCGAAGCCAATTTTCCCAGCTGCTCACCCCCTAACTGGTGGACGGAGGAGCTAACCGTTCTAGACATGGACTTCTTCAGCAGAGTAATTGCTGCCATGAAGCAACGCGGCGCAAAGTCTCTAACTGTAGCTGCCGCTCTTATAACTTATGCAGAGCGAACACTACGAGATCTCGTCCGGAATCACACAGGCAATGGAATTCGCTCGTCAGATTCTGGAGATTCCGACTCCAAATCTAAACAACGCAAGCTTCTCGAATCAATCGTGGATCTCTTTCCAGGTGAGAAAGGAGCGTTTCCGATCCATTTCCTGTGCTGCATCCTCCGCTGCGCAATTTACCTCCGTGCCTCCACTGCCTGCAAAACTGAGCTCGAGAAGCGGATTTCCTCCACTTTCGAACACGTGACAGCGGATGACCTACTCCTGCTCTCCTTTACCTACGACGGTGAGAGACTCTTTGATCTCGAGAGTGTCCGTAGAATAATTTCGGGATTCGCGGAAAGTCAAAGAGGCAACGCGGTTTTCACCACAGGCGAGTCGAAAGAGCCTTGCTCCGCGGCTATGCAGCGCGTGGCAAAAACAGTGGACGCTTATCTCGGGGAGATCGCCGCACACGGCGATCTAAGCATTTCGAAGTTCAACGGCATAGCAGTCCTGATTCCTAAAAGCGCACGTAAGGTTGATGACGATCTATACCGCGCCGTAGATATCTACCTGAAGGTATCTAACCTAACAGTTTATTCGCGTTTTGAAGCAGGAACGAGAGAAAACGACAGCGTGTAACGGTTAACCTTTTGTTTCTTGCAGGCGCATCCGAAGCTGGATGAGATAGAGAGAGAGAAGGTGTGCAGCGTGATGGATCCGTTGAAACTTTCATACGAGGCGCGTGTGCACGCGTCGCAGAACAAGCGTTTGCCGGTACAGATTGTGCTGCATGCGCTTTACTACGACCAGTTGCGGCTGCGGAGCGGAGGGGAGGAGCGTGAAGTGGCGAAGGATAAAAGTGAGCTTCATATGGATGTTTCGTTGGTGAGAGAGAACGAGGAGTTGAGAACGGAGTTACTGAAGATGAAGATGTACATTTCTGATTTGCAGAATAAGAACGTTAATAACGGTGAGAACACTCATGGCAATGGAACGACGTCGTCTGGAACAACAAAAAAGACAACGTTCTTCTCTTCCGTTTCGAAAACGCTGGGGAAGTTGAACCCGTTCAGAAACGGGTCGAAGGACACGACCCATTTGGAAGATGGGAACGTTGATTTGTCCAAGCCCAGAAAGAGAAGGTTCTCTGTGTCTTAGAACTTACAAGTTAAATCGATTGAATTAAATTATTATGCGATGTTCATCGAGGTTATGATTACTTAATCGTTTTTTCTAGTGTTTGGATTTTCCGTTGTGCATGTGCAGAATTCATATATAGAAAATGTGTTTTTGTTCTGGTTGTTGCCAACTTCTTTCATCATATACACTATTTTGTTAGTTGTGTATTTATATACAATCTTAATCAAAATGAGTGAAAATCGATTGGACATCTATGTTTTCTTTTATATATCTGATTGTTCAACATCATGCCATTTAGTACATTAGTTGTTTCTCTATCTTTTTTATGTTTCGTTTTTCTCTCTATGAAGTTGATTGGATAGTCTCCACAAAACATTTTTCACTTTGAAAATACACAAAGACTAAACTTAAAGTTGTGTGTGTTTAACAAATATTCAATTATTATTTTAACTCCACATTCTATCGTTTATTTCTTGAGAGAATGATAGTTATCAGAAAAATATTCTTTTGAGACATTTTAATATTTTACATTTATTTGATACTATTCTTATGTACTTTTTATTTTCTTGTTTCTTAAAAAATAATACAAAATTTTACACTTTTTAACTTATTTTATCCTTGTATCATGTATTAAATAAATGTAAAAATATATTATAGTATCATTTCTCCAGTTATTATTACCATATTAAAGAAAAATGTAGTGTCTTCCATATATTCTAACATGTATTAGATTCATGTGTGTTGTTGATGGGAAGTTATAAAAAACATATATTTATAGTTTCTCTCGTTTTCATGAGTTTGCTTGTAACGCTATACCTTTTAATGTTTACAATAATTATTATTTTTCATTTACAGT